GGTGGTAGCAGAGCAGGCGTTTTTAAATCTGCTCCCTTCTTTTCGATGATGGCGTCCTAGCTGATTTTTAGGCTCCTTTTCCTCCCAGTCCTCATGACGTCCACGACTATTAGGTTACGTAAATGACTACCCTCATCTCCAAAGTAAGTGAGAAAATATGAACAAGTAGATTAAAGGGTTCCAACACCAAGATCTAGTCGTGTAGTCAATGCCCATGACAAGAGTTATGCTAAGTTAGTTTGGAGTGCAATGCATTTCGTGGGAGATTGATAAGTCCATTCCAATGGTAGCTAAAGAACAAAAGGAAATAATCTAGAAGTTCCTCTTTTTTAGCAGTGATTTCCGTTTAGCACCATAATGTGCCACACCAGCTACAGGGGAATTTGCGTAAGTTAGGTTTATTCCACTGTAAACATGCCTACGCCCAAAAGTATCGAACTAGTGAACGAACACGGATTATTGCGTTGGGTACTACTAAAAGTAGCACTAATTTCGGAAATTTTTCAGGCCTTCATTCCGCCTTATGAGTGAATGGAACAGTTACAAATGAAATAAAGCATGACTTCTCGCTTTGTAAAATGTGCTAATTGTCATGCTTTATTAGTATACCGAGATTCTAGGATAAAACAATAATTGATTTCAAAAACACAACAAAGAAAATATGGACTTAAGATAAATCTAAAGTAGATCTGCGTGAATTCAACCGCTCTGCGTCAAATTTGCTAGAGTGATGTCACAGATCTCGGTCGGATCTGCCTTGTCGGCTGTCATACCGCCGACGATGGCGGCGGTACAGAGGAGATGGGGAGTGTTCCTGGTCAGGACGTCGTCTGTATTCACTACTTTGTGGCTAATAGATGAACAGACCAATGGACATTCAGACAAGTAAAGTAGTTGGAGGAGAGGTAAGAGACAAAAATAACAAAATCTGTCATCGCTTACGCGTCGCGGTGAAGAAGGACCTCTAGTGAAAGGAGAGGTTGGTCCTTTCGCATTTCATCCTAAGGAATAAAACTGAGGACCAAATGAGGCTGAAGTGAGGATGTTTAAACCAA